TTGTAGTAACCAAATGGAGCATAAATACCACAAATTACAAGGATCTATTTTCAAATGGTCATGCCTCCATAATTGGTAAATGAGCGTGCTTTTTTTATCCACCCCCAGTTAACATAACGTTGTTTCAAACTTTTGATATCTGATAACCTGATAGTTGAATAATGGTATTTTGTGGTTTTATTTTGTATTTCTTCTAGTATGAAGAAATGTAGAACATCTTTTCATGTTTCAGAGTCAATTATATTCCTTTTAGTTTTCACTTTTTCCTTATGTCTTTTTCTCATTGATTTGTGGCAGATCTTTATATATGAAGAAAATTAGTCCTTTTTCTAAGCATTTTTTATGCAGATATTTTCCCTACTGTGTCATTTATCTCTTGACTTTTTTCCCCATATGGCAAAAGAAAATACCATAAACATTTTTAATCTAGTCAAATGTATTGATTTTGTCTTTGGTGGCCTTTGGGTTTTGTTAGTTTTAATGGTTAGTATCCAAAATCTATAAAGAACTTAGCAAATTCAACACCCAAAGAACAAATAACCCAGTTAAGAAATGATCAGAAGACATGAATAGACACTTTGCCAAAGACGACATCCAGATGGCTAACAGATACATGAAAAGATGCTCAGTATCAGTAATCATCAGGGAAATACAAATCAAAACCACAATAAGACACCACCTCACACCTGTCAGAATGGCAAAAATTAACAACACCAAAACAAATGTTGGCAAGAATGGGGAGAAGGGGTAACCCTCTTACATTGTTGGTGGGAACGCAAACCAGCGTAATCACTCTGGAGAACGGTATGGAGGTTCCTCAAAAAATTAAAAATAGAACTACCCTACAATCTAGCAATTGCATTACTAAGGTATTTACCCAAAGGATACAAAAATACAGATATGAAATGGTACATGTATCCTGATGTTTATAGCAGCATTATAAACAGTAGCCAAACTATGGAGAGAGCCCAAATATCCATCAACTGATGAATGGATAAAGAAGACGTGGTATATAAATACAGTGGAATATTACTCAGCCGTCAAAAAAGAAATCTTGTCTTTTGCAATAAGGTGGATGGAATTAGACTGTATTATACTAAGTGAAATAAGTCATTCAAAGAAGACAAATACCATATAATTCCACTCATGTGGAATTTAAGAAACAAAACAGATGAACATATGGGAAAGGGAGGAAATAGGAGATAGGGAAACAAACCATAAAAGACTGAATACAGAATAAACTGAGGGTCAGTGAAGGAGGTGGATGGGGGATGGGCTAGATGAATGATGGGTATTAAAGAGGATACTTGTGATGAGCACTGGGTATCGTATGTAAGTGATGAATCACTAAATTCTACTCCAGAAACCAATATTGTACTGTATATTAACTAACTAAAATTTAAATAAAAATTAAAAGAAATTCTAAGAAAATAATAAAAATAACAGCTTTTCTTAAGAGATATTTAAGAATTGTATTGTGTTTGATATTTTGTTGGTTCTTTGTTGTTTTTAATGAATTTAATCCTCTCAGTTTATAACACTGATTATAAATTGTTCATTCCAAGCTGTATAAATTTCAAAGCAGTAGAACAATGGAGGGTTACCAGGTTTTGGAATCTAAAAGTCCAGTTTGAATTGTAGTTTGTGGACTTACCAAAATAAACTAAGCCATTTTACTTACCTACTCTTAGCCTCAGGTTTCCCATCCAGGCTTTACTGAGTTCTATTACAAAAGACAGTGCCTGGCATATGATGGATTCTCAATGTTAGTTCCTCTCTCTCCTGCTTTCCTAAATGCCTTGACCAAGAAATATTTTGTTAAATTGAAGACATACACTTCGATAAATAGGACTTATTTCCAAAAGCATTCTATAATTTAAATCATAAGTGATTTCTGTTGATTTTTTGTGTTAGTCTGAACCAGTAACTCATACATACATATTTGAATTATAGGTATTAAAAATAGTATGTCAATACAATGCACATTGTAAAAATATATTTTTGATAATAAATGTTTGTGAAAAGAGTAAATGAAAACTGATTTCTTAAAAAAAAACTGAATTTCTAGACAGTTACTTTTAAGAACTCCTAAACTATGTGTAGAAACCCTTCAATATAAAAGCAATTATTTTTTTTAAGATTTATTTATTTATGATAGAGAGAGAGAGAGAGAGAGGCAGGGAGAAGCAGGCTCCACGCCGGGAGCCCGATGTGGGACTCGATCCCGGGACTCCAGGATTGTGCCCTGGGCCAAAGGCAGGTGCTAAACCGCTGAGCCACCCAGGGATCCCCTAAAAACAATTATTTAATGAAGTCAGTGTACCCAATATATCCTGTTTCATAATTTTAAATTTTTTGTATATTACATTTCCTTAACGGAGGCTACATCTTTAGAGAGAGTAATGCATTTAAAATAAGCACTCTTGTGTCTTAAAAAAATAAAGTGTAGGGCAGCCCTGGTGGCTCAGAAGTTTAGTGCTGCCTTCAGCCCAGAGTAGGATCCTGGAGACCCAGGGTCGAGTCCCATGTCTGGCTCCCTGCATGGAGCCTGCTTCTCCCTCTGCCCGTGTCTCTGCCTCTCCTCTACATCTCTCATGAATAAATAAATAGAATCTTTAAAAAAAAATAAAGTGCAATGTTCTTATCCTTTACTTTCATAATTAGATCAACCATATTTCCATGTACTTTTTGTCCCATGGCTAATTCATGAGCCACCTTAACATTTGGGGCATAAGGAGAAATCACAATTTTAGAAATGCCTCAACTTTGTATTTAAATACAATTGCTTTGTCACTACTTTAAGGAAATTCAGTAAGACTTGAATGCCTTTGCTCTGTTAGGCAATTTAGAATATCCCAGACCTTGCTCTGGACTTCAAGATTTTTGAAGTTCAAAGCAGATGTGTGAGGAAGAAAAAACATCTGGTGGGGAGAACTTGCTTCATTGCGTGACGCTCTTTTCCTACACTATTCAGCAGAGCGTCTGTTGAGCAGGTTGGCAGGTTTGATAATTAATTAATGATGAGGGAGTGAGCCACGTATCTGAGGAACTCAGTTTTGCCCCTTACTGCTTCTTTCTTCCCCACATGTCTGGCAAAGCCTTCAGAGTCTAGAATCACTGATCCCACAGTTGTGTCTCAACTCAAACACTTGTCTTCAGGCTTAATTAGCTCAGAGATATAAACAGATGGATGGCTTGGGACTCAGAGAGTTTAATGTTGAGCAATGCAGTTTTATTATCAGAGAATTTTAAAATTTTTGTTGGAGAAGTACATCAAAAGTTAAAAAATGCCTTTAAAAAAAACCATAGAATTTTGAAAATAAATACTTGAAGGTGACAGGGTTTTGTATGTCTCTCTGATATTTGTGTATTTTTCTTTTTGTAACTTTTTATTAAAGTATAATTTCAAACTTACAGAAAAGTTGCAAGAATAGCTTTTACCCAGATTCACCCGTTGTTTTTATTTTCCCCCATTTGTTTTTCTATCCTTAGTCCTTCCTTCTCCTTTCTTCCCTCTACACACACACACACACACACACACACACACACACACACTGAAGTGTGCATTTTTTCCCCTGAACTATTTGAAGGCAAGATGGATGTTAGCTATCTTTACTCCTAATTCTTCAGTGTATATATCTTAAGGACAAGCCATGCTTCTAAATAATTACAGTACAATTATGAAAATCATAAAATTTAATAATGATACAGCATTATCTAATCTGTAGTCTCTTTTTAAAATCGTCAATTGTCTCAGTAACGTCATTATGACATCCTGTACTCCTAGACCAGTGCAGGATAGCACATTACATTTAGTTGTCATATCTCCTTTAAATGGGAACAGTTTCTCAACTTCCTTTGTATGTTTTGACTTTAACATTTTTGAAGAGTTCAAACCAGTTATTTAGTAGTGTTCCTGTATCAGACTTGTGTGGTATTTCCTCAAGCAATTTGGGTTCTGCAGTTTGGGCAGAAGTACCACAGAAATGGTGATGTGTCGTGTGGTATCTTAGCAGGAGGCATGTGGTGTTGATGTTCTCTTAATTGGTGATGTGAGTTTTGATCATTTGATTAAGGAGGGATGGAGATTCATTGGTTTCTCCACAGTGAACTTATACTTTCCCCTTTTACATTTAGTAAGAATTTTATGGAAAGATACTTTGAGACTATGTAAATAGCTTGCTTTTCTTCAAATTGGCACCTACTAGTTTTAGCAACCATGATGGTTTTCTAACTTGTTATTTCTTCTGTATTAGTTGGCATTCTGCTTCAAGGAAGAGCTTTCTCTTCTCCCCCGTTTATTTATTCATTTATTTATTTGCATTAGTATGAGCTTTTTGGTTCTTATTCAGTAGTGATAATTCATTACTATCATTATTTATTTTGATACTTAGATTGTCACTGATTTGGCCAGTGAGAGCCCCTTCAGTCTGATGTCTGGGTCATTTTGTTAAGTTGTCATCATTCTTTGAGCACTTCCTTATTTTCTGGCACAGTAAGATGTTCCAGATTCATTTTATATTTTCTTTGCCCCAGCCCTGGAACGAACATTCTCCAAGGAATCCTGGTTCCTTTTCATGGAGAATGGTATTTAGAAACCAGGACTGTGTGTGTGTGTGTGTGTGTGTGTGTGTGTTGTGTGTGTGTTAAAGGAAACTACGTTATGGAATATTACATGTGCTAAATCATTGTGTACTGTATGTATGAGTGTGTGGTGCATGTGTGTGTTTAAGGTTACAAGTTTCAAACAGAAGAGCATTTATTTTACATGTAATAATCATAAGTTTTGACAAGAAAGAAATACATTTTTCATTTCACAGTAAATGGCATTACACAGTTTTGAGTACTAAATCATCTTGACATTTATGAAGGACCAAATGGAAAGTAGGGAACTAAGTGTGTTAAAATATAAAGCTATCTTTAACTGTTCTATTAAAAAGCAAAGATTTATTTTCCATCTGTGATCTGAATGTGCCTATTTGTGTTCTCTTCCATGGTAGTGGAATTTCTGTGGAGCCACACGACAGAGAGCATGTGTGTTGGATATATGTCAGCCCAGGATGGGAAAGCCAAGGTAAGTGGGAAAATTGGGGCATAACTTGAAAAACTTGCAGCTGTCGCATGAACCTCTAACCAGTAAGGTTGATAAAAATGTATTTTTTCAGCATCTGTTGGGCAGTAGCTCTGTGATCTTTAAGAGAACCTGTTTAAGAACAGTTAATGATCCCAAAGAAAAACAGCAGATCTTTTTAGCTTTTGATGACAGAGCAGAGGAGATTAGGAAGCACTACCTCCCCTTTGTTTTTCATCTTGTTCTTCCTCATTCATTGTGAATAGCTAGAAAAGAAGAAACTGGGAATTGGGAAGAGAAAATGGGAAGAGAGTTGATGGGCTGATAGGGCTGGGTGGTTTTGCGGGAGCATTGGAATAGATCAAGGAAACAGGTAAAGCCAAGTGCCTAGACAGCATCCTGCATGTGTGAGGGTGGAATTAGCTCAGGTGCTTGCACATATGACTTGTCTAGTGCTCTGGTGTGTTCTGGTGCACCCTGGCATGGTGTCCTTGTGGGCAGAGTCAACAGTCTATGCCTTCTGTGGCATACGCCTGCGGCATGTGTCCCGCAGTGAGTCACAACAGTCACACAGACATATGCAGCTATTCATGTGTTTCTTGGTTTCCCTGTATCCACAATGGGTGAGTCTGGAAGTAAGAAATATAATTTATGGATTTTAGTTTATATTGGCCTCATGTTCTTCTTGTTCATAAAATTTTTAGAAACAGCTGTGGCATATGATGTTTACTTGGTATTAAAGTGCCTCAATTGCAAAGCTATGTAGTTGGGTAGTCTCTTCTAAAGGATATAATTTATTTGCACATTTGGAAATAAAAGTAAGGAATCTTATGATATTAATGTCTGATATAGATTGAATCATTAACAAATCAAGGATACATGTGACAAATTAAGGATACATGTCAATGTATTGCTTATTTATTTGTCATTTAACTAATGAATCCAGTCTGGCCTCTATATTATCCAGCAAGCCATATTTCAGGTGCTCAGTAAGCCAGCAAGCCAGTAACATCACAAGGCTTCTGTGAGTAGAGTGTACAAGAGCATTTCATCAGAAAAAGATTGGCTTTTATTTGTAACAGTATTCAACTGAGTTCTCTTCCTCTTTGTGTTACCTTCATCTAGTACAATATTCATATTCCACTAGTAGACTTATTTCATAAGAGAAGGCACAGAGATTTCTTTGTTTCATAGTATATACAGAAGAAAATTATAGTTGCTTGTTTTAAAGGTGACTTTTGAGGGGCGCCTGGGTGGTCAGTCTGTTAAGTATCTGACCCTTGATTTCAGCTCAGGTCATCAACTCATGTTCATAGTTCAAGCCTTGTGTCAGACTCTGTGCTGACCTTGGAGGAGTGCTTAAGATTCTCTCTCTCCCTCCACTCCTCAACCTCCCCTGCGCCCGGTTGTGCTTGTTTTCTCTCTCTCTCTCTTAAAAAAAAAAAAAAAAGATGATTTTTTGACTTGAGAGTAATATTACCTAATAGAATTTTCTGTGATGACTGAAATGTTTTATATTTATATTGTGTTGTCCAGTAGGATAGTCACTAGTCACATGTGGCTATTGAGCACCTGAAATATGGCTAGTATGCCTAAGGAACAGAATTTTAAATTAGTTTAAACCTAATTTAAATTTCTTAGTTTTAATTTAGATAGCCACATGTGATGAAATAGCTATCATATTGAACAGCATAGGTTTAAAGAAAGAGTAGAAAATGGTTATTCAAATAAGTATTTTCAGAACATTATTTTCTTCCCAATAACAAAACCATTCCCAAATATAGAATAAGCTTGATAAGCCACAGTAATGGCTTACAAGGTTTTAAGTTTTCTCACCTTTTACACATTGATTCTGAGCTAAAATTGCTTTTTAACAAAAGAACATGTATGAGCTAGACCTAAGTATTGAAGCCAGTCTTATGGGGATACCACCATGTTATTAAGTCCTTTGTGTGGAAATGTTCTACTTATCCCTGCTGGTTGTCTGTGGGAGACACCTTACTATTTAACATGAAATATGAGTAGTAAAGAGAATGGAGAGTCCTGCACCGAGCCCAAAGACATTTGGCCTATAGTCGCATTGCTTGACATCTGGTGGACGTGGTTTTCATATTGCTGGTAAATTCTCCAGCTGGTAGTCTTGATTGGGCCAACAGATACAGCTGCTCCTCTTGCCTCACTTGTAAGTTATGTTTTTGACCTTCCTTGCAGAGAGTTAATCCTGTTCCCTTTCTTCCTCCTTTGAGCCCTGTGGCTACAAATGCTTTCCAGAAAGAAAAAAGAAAGAAAGAAAAAAAACAAAACAAAACAAAAAACACTAATGCTTTGGCTGCTGAATTCTGTTGATAAAAAAAAAAAACAAAACATCTCTTCTGTCATAAAGGCTGGAATTTTATTGTATTGCAAGTAAGACAGTGTTATAAATGAGAAGCTGGGCTCAAAAGAGAAAGGGGCAATAGCAAAGTGTAGAGAAAGTAAGCTTTCGGCCTACTCCTCTGATTTCCTGATTTTTATGAAAAAAATTGTTGAATTAATGGCATGCCCGTTCAGCATGATGACTGGTCTGTGAAACATGCTCTCACATGATGTTGAGATCTTTGGTAGCAAATGTGAAAGAAGGCATCTTTATAAACCCCACAACCAAACAACAACAAAATGCACACATTTTTTAAACTTAAAAACTATTTCTAAAAAGTTTTTTTCCTTTCCTTTTCTTTTTTAAAACTATGGTCTTCTTGTTACCAAACACAGAAACTAAAGCCACCTAGCCAATCGAACATTTTACATAAGCCAGCTATGTTCAGTCCAAAGCCTTGAAGTTAAGCTCACCTCAGAATCATACTGCTTTAAAAATGCTGGATAATAAATATTATTGTAACAAGAATCCATATGCAATTTGAATAAATAGAGGTAGGCTCTTTATAAATTTCTTTCTTCTCTTTTTTATAGAACATCCTTTCAATTATATCATTTAATTTCTAAACATTCTGTAGCATAAGTTAAAGAGGTTTTTTTTTTATTAAACCAAAATTAGGGCATTGATACCAGTTGCATTTAAAAATCAGATTGCCTATGTCCTACCCAGATAGTAATGAACAATTTTTAATAAACACCCAATGTGCATGGACTACTGTAATAAAACAGGTGTTAAAACTGGCATGGAACTTATTCAAGTGTAATAAGTGAAACCTAGGTTTCTTTTACTATATGGAGGTCACTTTTTTATAACAATAGTGAAACTACTGTTATAAAAATTCATTCTTTTTTTTTAAGATTTTATTTATTTATTCTTGAGAGACGAGAGAGGAGAGAGAGAGAGGGAGGGAGGGAGGGAGGGAGGGAGATAGGCAGAGACACAGCCAGGGGGAGAAGCAGGCTCCATGCAGGGAGCCTGATGTGGGACTCGATTCTGGGTCTCCAGGATCAGGCCCTGGGCTGAAAGGCAGTGTTAAACCTCCCAGCCACCCGGGCTGCCCATAAAAATTCATTCTTGAGGAAGAGCAGGCTATTTATGGTCTTAATGTGTCTCCTCACAGATTTCTTATTAGTTGCAGAGAAAAATAATAAATATATAATGGGGAAACCAGGCAACAGCTTGACCTTGTGATCAAAATTAACGTGACCAGTGAGGAGCAGATGGACATCATGTGTCTCTGGATGTGATAACCTGAGAAAGACACAATATCACTTTTGTAGTATTCCATCTGGAAGTGTATAACCTAAATCTAATCACAAGGAAACATCAGACAAATCTAAAATGAGGAACATTCTATGAGGAAAGAAAAAAGGGACTATATTCTTCAAAAACTGTCAATGTCATAAAAGACAAAGGCTGAGGGAAATGCTCCAGGTTAAATACTATAGTATTGGCAACTAAATGCAATATTTGATCCTAGACTGGATCTTATATGGGAGGGGGGAAATGTTACAAATGCTAGGTCAATTTTTAGATAGTAAAAAAGTATTGTATCATTGTTTACTTTGTTTATTATAACTGTACTGTGGTATAGAAACAAATATCCCCACTCTTAGAAAATACACACTGAAGTATCTGGGGATACAGGGCCATAATATTACAATGTCTTCTTGATGGTTCAGAAAAAATATGTGGATGGATGGATGGTTAGATAGTAAATTACAAAGTAATGGAACAAAATGTTATCAATAGGTGAACTTGAGTAAAGTAAGTATGGCTGTTCCTTGAACTATTCTTTAATTTTGAAATTATTTTTGTATAGAAAATTTTAAAAATGTATCACGTTTGGATATTATTGTACATTCAATTAGTTTTGAAGTGAGTAAGTGTTGGAATGAGTTCAGTGCCAGGCGGTTGGAGCTTGGGTTCTTCCTCCATAATTCATACTTGGTGTGTTCACTCTGCCTCTTGGGATCTGAGAGGTCTCATTTGTAGAATGAGAATAAGAATACCTTACTATGCCTTCAGTCCTTCCTGGGATAAAGTATGATAACAACAAAGAAAATCTATCTCTCTAAATACAGATGACTGGATTCTATGAAGTCCTTGGTATATTATGGATATATTGTATGTATTATAGATATTTGTATATATTATGACCTGTTACCCCTGGATGCTTGCCTCCAGTCTGCAAAGTCCTAAATTCTACATTCCAGATTACATAAGCAGTTATGCTGTTATTCAGTTTTCAGTAGAATTTTTACAATCTCAGTGTAGTATCTAGCATGTTTCATTTTTTTTGAAGATAGTGTCTCAGGCTTAAAAAAAAAATCTCAGTAAACATCTATTTAGAAAGGATAGAACAGATGGGATTCCTGAGAGTTTTTTGTTAGGCTTAACTTCTCTAATAAAATCGTAGGAGGAAGACACATATAAAATGAAAGGTAGACAAGAAGAAGTTATCAAAAAATTAAGAAAGACATTCCCTCTCTAAATTTAAGTTGAAGAGACTTTTACTCCTACTCCCAACAATGAGAATGAGCTGGATGAACTATAAAATCATAAATTTAAAAAATCACCCCAAAAA